GAGAATGTAAATCATCAACTTTTTTTTTTCAAATTTCTACTCATTTTTCGAAAATCTGTACCGAATAGTAAAATAAAAAATGCAATAAAACATTATTTAATTAGAAAAGTTTTTAATTGCTTTTATAAATAAGATTTATTAAAGACACTCTTATTGGCCAAAAAAAACTTTTTCTTCGATGAATAAGGAATTTTTACATGAATTGTTTTCATTTTTTAAAATTTTTTTTAATTATGATGATTTATAATAAATAGATCTTTTAAAATTCGGCATTACTTTCATCCTGCTTGGTGATATTGTTCTTAACTGAAAACAATATTTACTAATCAAAAGCTTAATAAAACTCATTTTGCACCAAGATTTTAAAAATACTTTTTAATTTATTTTATGGATATAAAATATTATGGAACGTACCCATTTTGAAAGCATGGTCGACCATACACGATATTATGAGAAAATAAGAGCGATGACTATAGTAAATTTAAAGTCAACATCCCTAAAATTAGTTTACGGAGAATATTTTCCAACATTTTTAAGATTAATGAGTACTTAAAAATTATATATAAAAAAAAGGTTCTCACGTCATTTTCTTAAATTATGTTTTACAGATAAAGTCTCCGTAGAACAACAATCATTATGACATCACTTGTCACAGCATCGCCAATTACGATTTCGGTTAAAAACACAGCTACTGTTTTGTCTTAAAATACATTTCTGTGTTATTTTAAACATAAAGTAAATAATATTTTTTTCAAACAAGATTAATTACATTTTAAATTAATTAATATTCTTCTAATAAAGGCTCAGAAAAGTACATTTTATTTTTGAAATAATTTTTAATACAAAGAATTACATTGCAATGAAAGTTAGCTAAAAAGGCCACTAAGCAACTATTTTAGGGAAAAAAAAGAAAGAAAAAAACGATTCAAATCAATATAATATTTGTTTGAAATACACCAGATTATTTTGATTACTGGCAATAGTAAAGTTAATACCTTTCAATTAAAGCTAAAATGAAAGC